GTAATAGCACTTAAGTGAAATCCAATACTTAAATAAGTTTGACTATGATTAAAATAAGTATCCAAGAGGTTTAAATATCATTTGTACAAGCGATAACAACTTGAATTACATATGCATATGCATGAGTGAAATAGTGGATAACTAAATGAAAATGAGAAATAAAAAAGGAGTGTTATCCTAAAAATATTGATTTGAATAAGTGAGATTAAAGGATAATTTTAGAGTGAACATATTTTATTTATATCAATTTAAATTAAACTTATATTAAGCTGTATTAACCCTAGAACTATACTTAAAAAAAAAATCAAAGGAGGTCCATGGGATTGAACCCATGATATTTAAGCTGCCTCTTAAGCAAATAGCTCTAAACAATAACCTTTATTTTGGCTTTATCCATCTCATCAATTCAATCCCTTCCCTCAATTTTTCATTTATTCTCCTTTAGATTTGTGTCCTTTCTTCGTTCAAGTTCAAGAACCTTGGTTTTAAAGTGGATTGAGGAAAGAAAACATAATTCTTCCCTTGTTATATCTAGGGTTTTAGTTTTACAATTTGTAGGCTATTTTCTTTTAGTTGATTTTGGGTGACCTAAGATTCAAATTAAGATTTAATTTTTTTATATTTTATATGGCTAAGCTGAGATTTTATGGCTTCTAGAATAACTTCAATATGAGTTTTATGGTTTAAATTATGGATATGTTGCTATGAAGCATGCAGAATCTCTTTTTATTTTTTTGAAGGGTTTTTGTTCGAGGTGAATTAATTTTTTGATGTCTTAAATTTTTTTTTAGGATTTTATAAGTATTAGAATTGAGTGAATGTCGTCATTAGATATTAAGATATAAAGTATATAAGTTTGGATAGTCTTAACCTAGTTAGACATTAAGATATAAAAAGTGTCCAAGTTTGGATAGTCTTAATCTAGTTTCAACATAATATGGTTTCAACATAATATGATAGGTAATGTTAGTTGAATGAGAATGATAGTTTAGCCTTCAAATGCTTATGTTTTAAGTTAAAATTTAATATATATTGTTTTATATGTGTTATTTTTTTATAAAATTTTATGATAATTCAAAATCATTTGGTCAATTAGAATAGTAAAATAATATTATTTCATGAAATTATATAATGGTTTAATTAATACTCACTAGTTTATTTGATTATAGAGTGAATTGTTAAAAAATTGATAGTAAAATTTAGATAAATTTTCATATTGAATATAGTCTACTATAAAAGGATTTTATCAAATTTTTTCAATTAGCTATTACTATGAATTATTATAAAGCAATAATTCAAGATGTAATTCCTAATTAGGACATCTCATAACGCTATGCATACACTTTTGTAAGCATACTCAATCATTAAGGAATGTGGATTTTTACTCATTTTTTTAATTTTTTAGTTAAATTAGGTAAGTATAAGTTTAATTTACTATAAAATAGTGATTGTATAAATTATCATATTTATAATATTTTTAGAAAGCATGTTCCAAATGATATAATTGTCATGAGCTAAGCGTAAGCTCAATGTTAATGTATGTATGGTATAAGTATAAAAATATATGAATTATGATAAAAATATATTATATGATGTGGGAATAGATATAGTTTCTATGGCATGAGAGGTGAAAGTGCACAAATATATTATGATATATGATACACGCATATGCTATGACATGCGATATGAAAGTGTATACATATATTATGACATATAATATATGAATGCAAATATATATTATAATAATATGAGTTATAAGAGTATACATATATGTTATGATATGGGGTATGGAAGTCTATGAATATATTATAATATATATATAATTATTTTGAGTTATTTGGACGTAGAATCTTACTTTTTTTATTATACATATGTTATGTTGCAAGATTATGCTTTCCAAAGAACTCATTAGATGATGTGTTTATCATTAAATATCATATACATATAATTTTAAAATATTATATACAAGATGTATGCTCACAAAAATAAAATTATAAAGACATATACTTGTTAAGTAATTTCTTACTATATGATACTCACTTGGCTATAAAAGTGAGTGTGCGCGAGTCCATGCCAGCATAGATATGGACAATGACATATGTGTATTTTTATGTTTATAAATTTTAGATATTTTATATATGTATTTTTTTATTAGATATAATAATTATAAACATATGTCAAAATTATTATATATAGGAGAAACTCTATCATTTTTTTAGTAAGTTAGTATGTTTTAATTACCTATTTTTCTTATTGTACTTAATATTTAAACTGAAATATGATATCCTACATTAGTTAGATGTTATAAAATATATGTAATCTTGGGATTCATCTGCTTCTACTTTAAGGGTCATAATAATTTAATTTTTTATACCTTTTAGTTGTTTTGGCCCATTAATATTCTTAAATATATAGTTAATTTAAAAATCATTCGCATAGATTCCCACTCCCAATTTCCAATTCCAACTCCAGTTTTCCTTTTTCCTTTTTTTTTTACTTTCCAAGCTGAAAGTATGTCTTGCAGCTGAATTGACAACTTATTCCCCTCTTTATAAGAAGAATCAAATTACTTTAGGATTGGTAAAATGTTATACTGATATATATATATAT